GCATCTGGAGCATGATGCTGTGAAATGGCCTTTCACTGAACACTTTGCACATGTGTATGACCAGGCTTCACAAGCTCTTGACCGGGCTGCTCTGTCGTTCTTTTGACCATGGCTGGGGCCACCGCACGCCCAGCACTTTCTGCCTGGTGTGGCTTGTGGTTTCGTCTTCGGTGGGTGGCTCATGGCGCCGGAACAGTCACCCACTGCAGTCTTGGTGGCCTTCCCTTGTTCTTTCTGTGCGATGAAGGTGACTGTTTCTTCAAGGGTTCTGTCCGTCTTTGAGTCTCCCAGGAGGTCGGATAGGATCTCTGGGTCTGCGATGCCTTGGATCAGGTTGTCTTTCATAATTTCGTCACTGTAGTTGTATGTATGTGTGCAGTTGGGTTCCCTGCATCGAGCCGTATATTGGCAGAGAGATGCCTGTCCCCTTAGGCTTGCTAGGAATGTCCTTATTCCTGTTCCAGGTGACTGAGTCATTTTACTCAATTTGATGCAATGGACAAAGGTGCTTTCCTCTTTCACCGCTAGTCTCCTGATGGCTGCTAGGAGGTCCTCCTCTGTCATTGTCGAGACATCATCACAGAGATCACGCATGATATCGGTGCGCAAGTCTTGGCTGCAACAGTAGAAGAGGTCTGTCGGTGCCATGGTGCTAGAGATGGCCATTCCTTTTTTATACATAGTCCACTGTCTTGTAAATGCTGACCACCGGTCGGGGTCACAAGCTGCTCCTACTTGTGGGGGATCCAGTTTCACTTTGGACGGGAGTACTGTTCCGTGTGCCGTCCTGTCATGCATTTTTAATGCTGTTGACAAAGCGTCGGCGACTACAGCATCAAGGTCCTGTGATTGCCAGGTACAGCCGTCAACTGGGCACGTTAATTTCGGCATGATGGAATTAAGTCAGTTGTTTGGCCAGCTACTGGGGTGAGGAGATGTTGGGATTTGGGGTAAATGCAGTTACGGGGTGGCTAGTGAATGATGGCAGTGATAATCAATGATGATTAGGATTTCATGCGCTTTTTTCAAGTTGTGTTTCTTCATTGATGGCTGACTGGATTATGACGCAAAAAGAGATTGTCCATCATAGTTAAAGATGAATAACTTCCTTCTGCGATGTTATTGAGCTTGCTCTTTATTAAGATTCAAAGGATGATGGACAATCTGAGGAAGGGTGAGAGATGAGTTAATTTAATATCTATCTACCTATCCCCCCATCCCCCGCCTTTTCCGCCGTAATTCGTATACTTCGGGACACGCAGAGATGCTGCCATTGCATTTTTAAACCGAGAATTTCTGACTGTCTGTGTGCAATTTATGAATCAAACTACACGACTATTATCTTTCCCTGTCGCTGCTTTTTAGAACTGTTTTCAAAATGTTATTCAAGCACAATTTTCCTAGATTATAGTGCAAGACTCAGTGTAGTTTTTAAATTTAAAAAATCAATTTAGGCTAGCTTTTCATTTATGCAATTAAACTGTTTTTTTTCAAAGAAGTATTTCATGGGTGCTCTGGTGTGGTTTTTTTCTCTATCAAAGATCTATCGTTCTTATCTCTTCTCATTCTTTTATGTGTTTGTTACTCTCTTTTAACACTTCTAATCTTCGGATTTTATATGACCTCATTGTGTTGTTACATGTGCGGTAAAAATCAGACTACAATTTTAAAAAAAATCTGGTTCATTTGTTGTGACAGACAAAGGATAAAATGAATCTGTTAGCCTTATGAATATGAGAAATGGATTATGTTTAAAATGCAGTAGACTTACTGTGTATAGATTGTGTTTAAGATTCAGAAGACATACTTTGTATAACTCGTTTAGAATGCAAAATACTTACTTTGCTCTATATAAATTATGTTTAAAATTCAGAAGACTTGGTTTGTATAAATTATATTTTTCTTAAGATTGAGAAGATTTACGTCGTATAAATTATATTCACAATTCAGAAGACAGTATACGTTGTATAAAATATATTAAAGATTCAGCAGACTTGCTTTGTATAGATTGTGTCTAAAATTCTGAAAAATTACTTTTTAGATTTTCACTAATATTCATAAAACTAACTTTGTATAAATAGTGTTAAAGATTCAGAAAACTAACTTCTTTAAATTACTCGTGTGTTTTTGCTTCAGGAAAACTTACTTTGTATAGAATCATATGTTTTATATTCAGAAAACTTATCTTTTAGATTTTGATTAAGCTTCATGAAACCGACTTTGTATAGATAGTGTTAAAGATTCAGAAAACTTACTTTGTGAAAACTGTGTTTAAAATGCAGAAGACTTACTTTGTTTTAGTTTTATTTCACAGGTCAGCGTCCAGTATCTGTCTAAAATGGACTTCCCGTCTGTGACTTTTTGTAACTGCAACAGTGTCAAGAAAGGCAAAAAATTAAAGGAAGTAAGCGCAGTTGAACCTATCTATCTATCTATCTATCTATCTATCTATCTATCTATCTATCTATCTATCTATCTGTCTATCTATCTATCTGTCTGTCTGTCTGTTTGTCTGTCTGTCTGGGGTAAGACACAGGGATTCGTTTGTTCGTACATTAACCTGAGAGACTGCCTCGGGCCAGACTATTAAAGGTTTAGCCTAAAGCCTTGCACAACCTCGCTTATGCAGCATACAAATCTAAAGCTAAATAAATTCTGCATCTTTTGACTCTGACACATTAATTACAAATAAGTGTACTTTTGAGTTTCCCGAAATACGGTCACTCAAAACACACAGGAGTTTTCGGGGAGACATGAATCCTACATCGCCGAAGCAGTGAACGGTTTTTAAGGGTTTTTGTTGTTGTTGTTTTTTTTTTTAGTAAAAGTTTTACGCACTTGCAGCACAATAGGGCCATGTTAGTGCTGAAGATAAGAAAGTAACAAACACAGAAAAGAACGGTGAGATAAGAACGATAGATCTTTGATAGGAAAGAAGGAGTGAACCACACCCGAACACCCGCCAATCACCTACTAAGGGTTTCTTTTTAAAGTAAGTAAAGTGGAGAGCTGAATAAAGTGACGAAAAAATCTAAGGATAATTGGTCCCTTTTAAGGACGAGCGGGCTAATCCCGATTTCGGGGGTTTCCAGAAATCTTGACCTACACCAAGAAAATGGGCATTGCCCTACCTATATAAGTTTGGTTTCATTGACGTGTATATTTGTTTGGTTATAGAGAAAACTCTCCTTGTCTTTTAAACAAACTGAACGAAGGGCAAAAACTTTACCTTCGATATTCTCAAAACAGTATTTTTCGGGATAGCCCCCTTGTGCGACCAATTTAAAAGTGTTTTTCGTCCTTAATAACTTAGTTTATGTAGTTAGTTGACCTTTTTTCCCATAGACATGAGGAGAGTGCCAGTGTTGGTGTTGAGCTCCTTAATAAGTGGCGTTTTATTACTTTCCTAGAGGCCTTGGCATGAGCTCTTTCTAAGCCAATGATCAGTAGTAATCTTTTCATGGTCTGATGTCCATAGCAATATACGAGTATTATTCCTAACGGACGTTTTTGCTCCTTTTGTTCCATTAATTTAATAATAATAATAATAATAATAATAATAATAACATACATAGATAGCATTTGTATAGCGCATATCCCCGCTCAGCAGCAGGCTCTATGCGCTTTACACTATAGTATTACCCCAGCAGACCATAGAACACTCCGAAACATTCTCAGCTTCCCGGGAAGCATACAGAATAGAAAACATGTACAACATTACTCTAGATTACAGGAGGATATGACAATGACAATGTTCTTTTTAACAGAGAAAAACATGTAAAAAAATTATTCTAGCACTTTACGTTTTATAAAACTATTTCTTAAAGAAGGACACATTGTATGCACACATTATCTAGTTGCAATAAAACAATAATTCTAAATCTACTAGAGTGTTTACAGGAATGAAAATATCATATTGTATTTTTGTGATTTGTTAATCTTACACACTTCTTTATAATTCTATTTTTCAATTAAAGAGCAAGGATAATCTTAAGTTATTTTTGCTAATTAATTTATTTTTACTGTATTTCTACCGTCTGTGGTGTGATTGGGAGGCTTTTTGTCTTAGTTTACAGAAGACATGAGTTCGATTCCTAATTAGCGAGGTCTTTATTTTATTCGCGAATTTCCTTCTGTCTGCGGAAATATTGTAAACATCCCCCTTCACCCTACCCTGACCCCTATACCTAACCCCCAACCCCGCACTCAACCCATCCCCCACCCCATTTCAGCCCAGGGTGGTCTTGATATATGGTGGTTGAAGCAGTCTTCCTCCTAGATAATCTACAATCTCTAAAAATAAAGGGTGATTAAAAAAGAATGCGGTCCAGTGTGTTGATTGTAGCTGTTATTCGATCTTTCATGTCATCATGCTGGATGGAAGTGGTGGAACATAAACTTTGTCTTTAACATACCCCTATCAGAAATGGCTATTCACTTTACTGCACGCAGATTGGAATGACTTCATATTTCAACATGGTGGAACACCGCGCCATTGGCCTCTCCAGGTTCGAGTTTATCCGAATGAAAACGTTCCACAGCGGTGGATTGGCAGCTAAAGCGCTTAAGATCTCGCTCTCTGCGCTTGGCCTGCCGGATGCCCGGACCTCACCTTGTGTGACTTTTTTGTGGGGGTATGTTAAAAAATGTATGTTCCGCCACTTCCAGCAAATATCAATGACATGAAAGATCGAATAGCTCAGCAGCTACAATCAACATGGTGAACCGAGACATCCTGAGGCTTGTTTGGGAGGATTTTTCATATCGGCTTGATGCTGTTCGTGCTGCCGGTGATGGCCTCATTGAGCACTTGTAAAGCATGAAATAAAAAGTTGAAGGTACATACAACACATTTGCCCAAGCTAGAGGTTTTTGTCGTTTTTCGTTTTTGAAATATCGCGTGATGGTTTGGGCGTATTCTTTTTTTAATCACCCTGTAAATTGATGTAGGCCTAAAACACTAACAACTATTACTATTGTTACTTTCAAGGACATCCCAATGACTGACCTGTCACAACTGCGTGGATTGGGCTATACGCTAGAAGAGATGCTTCTCGGCTGCAGGTATAATGATGTAAGTCGTCCTTTTTTGTCTTGTGTGCTCTTTCTTACGGGAGCCATAACAATGATCTTATTAGTTCCAGACAATCCTTGTTGACTATGGAAATGTGAGCAAGTAAGTCCAATGATATTTCAACACTGAGATGAAACAACAAGAAAATTAATGCTTTTGAAGAGCCATGATAAGATATATTTGTTTGAATCGATCATAATTTAAAAAATTGTCACCTGTTCTAGCCGCCCCTCCCCTCTCTCCCATGCTAATTTGGGCGGAAAAGCGCGGGGAGGGGGGGGGAGCGGATTTGTGTGTTTGTAGGTGTGTGTGGGGGGTGGGGGGTGGGGGGTGGGGTTAGGGCAAACATTTTTTCCGCAATCCACACTAAGAGAGACCAAATTTCGAAACATCGGTCCCGTTTCCATTAGGAAAAACAAAGCAAAACAAAAAATAATATATAAATAAACCCCAAAATCACAAGGGGGCCACTTCTAATTGGTGGCATTATCAAAATAAAGGTTAAGTTTTATATATATATATACATTGTCCTATTCTGGCCAAAGATCTGACAATAATTAGAGAGGCTGTACGCTTACCACGGAATTGAGATTGTTTCAGAATGTTATCAGGTGTACTGGGTGCATCTTTTGCTATTGACGAGGAATTTGCGCTATACATGTGAAGCATCGTTGTGAAAAATAATGAAATCGCCCCCCCAAGTATTTTTCCACTGGTTTGTTAAATTTGGTTAGTTTTCTGTTTGTTTTGTTTTCATGTCTATTTGAAGGCACACTTCTGCGAAGATTTTACTTTAAAAAAAACCATCGTTTAAAGGCACCCAAAAAATGTAAAGTTTTATTTCCAACGGACTCTCAAGTTATGGAAGTTACGGATTTTGGCGGCTATTTTCTTGGTATTTCACCTACGAAACCAGGCACCCCACCCCCTTCCTCTACATTCTTCAATTGAAACTGTCCTGGAATTCTATTCAATATAGATGGGCAATTTCTTAATCTAATGTAAGACAAATGAACAAGCTTTAAGATATTACTATTAAGTCCACATGCCTAAAAATGGCGAGCGCCTGATTCCACCGCATCTTTCCACAAATGCTATCTACTATGTGGCTTGAGTGAAGATTGGGCGCAGCATTTTTTACTACAGCGTCGGTCGGGCAATTGTCGACAAATATTCCTTCATGTGACCACTGCCCGTTCTCCTATACACCGTTGGAGATCTGTTTTAGAGCGAGGAAAAAAATTCGGGACGTAAACAAGATTTTCCCCCTAGAATACATTTCTTGATACAAGTTTTGCCACTGAAAATGTCATTGGTGAGCAGTGACGTAAGCTATAATATACGTTTGCAAAATCTGTGTTAGAAGCAGGAAGTGATCTGAACGATCCCATTTGTAGCGTGCCGGAGATTTATGATATTTTATAACAATTGAGGATGAATAGTTTTTTTAAATATATTTAGCCTTAGTTGTTGAGGGAAAATATGATTAAGTTAAAACAAAATAGTACAAACTGCTGTGCAAAATATGGGCGTCATTGATTTCTTGCATCCTGCCCTCCTTCTTCTTGCATGCAAGCTCTACGGCTTTTTTGTTGTAGAATGGGAGATCCATAATATGCAAAAACATATTTTCTCCACGTTCCTTTCTTCCCCTCCCCCACCCGCTCCCGGCGTTCTACACACACACACACACACACACACACACACACACACACACACTCTCTCTCTCTCTCTCTCTCTCTCTCTCTCTCTCTCCTCATTTTATACCTCTACATTCGCCATCCCCACCCCCTTCCCAACTCACACACACAAACTGTAAACATTTTAATATAAAGTTAAAGAGGTAAAATATGGTAGTGTCCAGAAACAAAATTATGATTAATGCATGATGGAAGATACTGAGTTAATAGAAACGGACTTGAACGGCATAGAAACACTACTAGAGTCTATGCTAGAAAACAAACTGAACGTGAGAAGCGCAATAAACTGCTGGCCAAGGCCTCCGCTCCTTTTTAACCAAAGACTTTTACTTTCTACACACCCACACGCAATATCGACGTGCACTCGTGTGGTCTATAATTTGTTTGTTTTTGGTTGTGGCAGGGGGTTAGGCCTATAGGCGAATAACTTTAGCTACCCATTTCACTAGGGGGTTAAAAATTGCAACAGAAATGATTTTGGTGTCGTTAGAACCAGAAAACCTTGCTCTATAACATACTAAAAATGGGCACAAATCGGAGTGGAGGAAATTTGTTAAAAAAGCCCTTGAATGTGCAATTATTGATAGAGTATCTAACTATCTAATATCGATACGAAATTATTATAGTATCGCGAGCTATATCTCACACACACATTAACCCAGGCACGGTTCGTCCATTGAGCACAGTCGTGCAGTGCCGCCCAAAATTTTGATGTTCTATTACGTAAAACACATACAATAATAAAATAAAAGACTCCAGAAACAAACACTAGCCAAATATTGTATCAAAATACGTTTCTCAACGGCGCCGTAACTGTTATTTCTGTGTCTATAGCGCCGTAAAACATCGACTATGCCATGCCAAAGTTCATGCGCTGTATCTAAGCGTAGCAGGATTCAATAGTGGAAAGCTGACCTATAAATCTCTCTTTGAGATAACCCAAGCGATGACGACACTCGTAGCGAGTTTGGCGGTACATTAACATTAATAAGACGGCACATCTCTAATGTGCTCCTGCCGAATAGTGCCTAAACATAGCCCACAGTAGGCAGTCTAAAAATAAACGCGATAGACTGTGCACTAGGCTATTCTATGCCAAAATTATGTCAGCCCCGGAGCAATCCAGCGGAGTGCTCAAGTGAATTGTGATTGGTTCATTGTCTTGCCG